AGGCATGTCACAGGCCCTTAACAGTTAAAAATCTGACTTATTTATATTTTCAGTAATTTTCAGTTATTTGTATTTTCAGTTCCAGGCTGAGTCATTTCTACCTTCTCCTCTCTGTCAACGCTCTCTGGTTTCATTTAAAAGAGTCGATCATCAGATATTGTCCAAGATTAACCTTCAGGGTGGATATAGCTCGCTAGTAGCCTCGCACCGATGACCTATCCACATCATCATTTACCCAGAATGCTTTGCATGTAATTAAAATGGCACCGTCCGTGTAATATATTTTTAAAAATTTAGTTTAAAAATGATAAACTGAACATCCTACAGTATTTTTACAGTCTTTATTTTACAGTTAAAATATATATTTATGAAATAAAGTCTAATTTTACAGCTAATCGGGGATCCCTTTAAATGTTCTGGTCAGAGTATGTATTGTGACATTCATTTACTACCACACCAAATCTTAGCTCAATATCTGAAAAACTGTCTTAGTCAAGTTTGTGTTTTAGTATTTCAATTAACTGGTGGCCATCTTGAAATGAATTGGCTTAAATAATTTATCAGTTACAGACGTTCATTCAGTGAAAATTTTCTGCAAGTTTCATAAAATCCTTCCAGTTGGTCATGAGATACTTTGCTAACAAACAATTGACTTTAAATAGGTAATGGCAAGATTTCTAACAAATACCTTGGGCAGTCTGTTAGTGTTCATAATATGTTATGGATCAGTCTCAGCTACTATCAACCATCTTAACCATGTTTGAGGTCAATGTTCTTAAAATTAAATCTTTTCATGTGTTTTTATGTTATTTGATAGTTGTGGCCATCTTGAATAGACTTGATTAGTAAAACATATTCATTTGTAGATGTACATCCAATAATGACTTATGGCAAGTGAGTATCAGTCACCTGGAGGCAGGACTCAAAAGCCTAAATTTTGCCTGAAACTCTCAGACTGAAGAAGTCTCTTGGAGGAGAGACGAAACGTTTCATTAAAGAAGAACCCGTCCAGAGGACCTATACAATTTTTTTTTCCTTTTGACTTATGGCAACTTTAGCTAAAATTCTTCCAGTGGTTCATGAGATATTTTGTCAACAGACAAACAAACTTGTTCCAAACAAGAAAAGCTGTAAGTATCAGCCAGGAGCTGCTGATCAAATGATCATCAGTGAGACCACCTCTATAAAGTCAGCTCTGGAGCGTACACATGTGCTAACACAATGCCAGGGCAGAAAGACCTCAGCAATGAAATAACATCAGCTTAAAGTAACAAAAGTTAGCTAAAAGGAGCAAATGTTAAGCTTAGCAAAAGCTAGCTTAAAGCGAAAAGTATCATGACTCTATCTAAAAGTAGTAAAACATTAGCTAAACATCAAAAAAGAAAAAATAAGTAGGTCCTCTGGATGGGTTTTTCTTTAGTGAAACGTTTTGTCTCTCCAAGAGACTTCTTCAGTCTTAGTTTCAGGTGAACTCAGCCTTTTAAGCACTGCTTCCACATGGACAAACAGGTTAGTCACATGCAAAAGTGGGCCATCGACTAACAATAAGCTTGATTAGTTCTATTGTTCATAGAGGGTCATGTGCCCCATCACCTGACTTATTGGTTTGGATGCTGTGGTTCTTAGGTGTTGTGTTATGTGTATGTAGTGAGTGCAGGCGGGGTTCAACGTCCCCTTGTTTTTGTCTCTCTTTCCGTTTGTGTTGCGTATCTTTGGGGCCGATTCACACCTTTTAGTCACAGGGCTGAGTCATACATTAACAGCGTTGTAGGAGGACAACTGGACACAAAGGCCTCCACCTGTTTAATGGTGGATGGTTTTTCTTCACAAAGATGGCTTCCTTTACTCCTCTCTCAAGCCAACGTTCCTCTGCTGAGAGAGGAGTAAAAGAAGCCATCTTTGTGAAGAAAAACCATCCACCATTAAACAGAGGTGAAGGCCTTCGTGTCCAGTTGTCCTCCTACAACGCTGTTAATGTAAGTATGACTCAGCCCCCTGTGACTAAAAGGTGTGAATCGGCCCCAAAGATACGCAACACAAACGGAAAGAGAGACAAAAACAAGGGGACGTTGAACCCCGCCTGCACTCACTACATACACATAACACAACACCTAAGAACCACAGCATCCAAACCAATAAGTCAGGTGATGGGGCACATGACCCTCTATGAATAATGGAGCTAATCAAGCTTATTGTTGGTCGATGGCCCACTTTTGCATGTGACTAACCTGTTTGTCCATGTGGAGGCAGTGCTTATAAGGCTGAGTTCACCTGAAACTCTCAGACTGAAGAAGTCTCTTGGAGGAGAGACGAAACGTTTCACTGAAGAAGAACCCATCCAGAGGACCGAATTATTATTTGCTTTTTGATTTTTTTCTACCTGGATTACTGAGATGCATCAGGACATTAGCTAAACAATTCAAAAGGCTATCTAAAAGTAGAAAAGGCTCATTTTAAGGCTAAAAATATTAAAAGAATAATTAAAAAATAAAAGTAACAAAAGCATAGTTAAAGAAGCAAATGTCGAGCTTAAAGCCCAAAGTAGCGAAACGCTAGCTTGAAGCGAAAAGCATCACATCTCTATCTAAAAATAGCAAAACATAAGCTAAAAATTCTAATTATCAAAAGGCTAGCTAAAAGCTAAAAGTAGCGAAGTCTCTTTTAAGGCTATAAATATTAAAAGACTAATTCAAAACTAAAAGTGAGAAAAGGTTAGCTAAAAGTATGCATATGCTGGCTAGAATCTAAAAGAAGCAAATATAAAGAAATGACCAGAAGAATGCATCTTCAATCTAAAAAGAATACAGCAACGAACACGGCAACGTTAGGTTTGCATAGTTGCCTCAAAACAAACCACAAAACGTGTGGAACAGAATCTTACAGACAGATGAAAACAAAGTAGAGAGATTTACCTATAATGCAACAGCTTCATGTTTGGAGCTTTTCCCACAATGTTTGACAAATTGTCAAGCATTGTGGGGGAGGGGTAAGGACCTGGGCATCTCACTGCCATCGATCCCACCAGCAATAAAGCGTTTGCAAAGAAATGACATATTTTTTTGTGAAGATGCAGTCTGAACACTGAGTAACATAACACTAGCTAAAATCTAAAATAGCTAAATGTAACCGAGAAGCTAAATGTAGTTCATTTGCCATGTGTCAAAATGCTAGCTAAAAGTAAAGTCTAAATGTTAAAAAAGCAAAACGCTAGCTACAAATCAAAATAAGCTAAATGCTAACTAGATGCTAAATAGCCAAACACTAACTAAAAGGTAAAAGAGTCAAAAGGCTAGCTCGATGCAAAAGGTAGCAGAATCAACTAATGAACAACTAAAAGCAACAAAATTATAGCTGAAAGGAGCAAATGTTGAGCTTAAAGCCCAAAGTTGCAAAAATAGTTCAAAGCTAAAATTAGCATAACTAGCTAAAAGTAGCAAAACCTTAGGTCAAAATTAAAATAATCAAAAGCCTGGCTAAAAGTAGCAAATGCTCCTATATGGCTAAACATATTGAAAAACTAATTAAAATCTTGAGGATTTGACCATCATTGAGCCCACCGTTGTTTGATAAAATGCTGCTGACGCGGTGGACTCTGTTTGTGTTCGTCTGGTAGTGATCAAATCAAATTTGTTATGTCCTGATACAGAAAACCTTAGAACTGATTGACAGTTTCTTGTCTTGAAATTCAAAAGAATTAATAACCAACCCCAACCTTGGATGTAACGTGGTAATACAGTATGTATTTCTTTCTACACAGACGTCTCCAGGGCTTCTGACTAAAAAGTACAGCTCTTGCTCAACAATATTCATAGATGACAGCACAGTCAGCCAACCAAACCTCAAGAGCACCATCAAATGGTAGGCCGTGGAAATATCTGTACACTTTTAAATGATGGCAGGCCTTTTTCTTTCCATGACACGATTCACTGCTGTCATTAAGTGTTGTGTTTCTGTGTTGCAGCGTCTCATTGGCCATATACTATCACATCAAAAACAGGTAGGAAAAGTTAAATAACGGGTGGAAATGAAGGTTGAAAAGATGTAAAGAACATAGGCGATTATTAGGCAATTTATTAAAACTTAAATTAATCTGTTTGAGCTTGATTCCAGCAACGCATTTAGAAAAAATTCAGTCCGTTTTCATGTTCAGGGGAAAATATGTCTAAACTTGAAGTTTAGAACACGCATGCTTTTTCTACAGCTTTTAGAGCTGTTATTTGAGAATTTCAAACAGTGGTGCATTCAAGAGCATTGGAAAAGTAGTCTGGTCATTTTTGGAGTGAGATTAAATCGGGTTGACAGTCTTGGTCCTCGAGGGCCACAGCCCTGCATGTTTAACTTTTTTCCCTGCTCCAACACAGCTGACTCAGTCATTGAATCACTGCTTCCAAGTTCTGCCTGATAATCACCCATTCATTCATATCAGGTGTGTCGGAGCAGAGAAACAAGTAGAACATGCAGGGCTGCGGCCCTCCATGCCTGACCCTGGGATAAATGGTAAATGGACTGTACTTATATAGCACCTTTCTATCCAACCAGGACACTCAAAGTGCTTTACAACACAATCTGTCCTCATTTACCCATTCACACACACACACACACACACACACACACACACACACACACACACACACA